TACTCCGCGTACTAAAGTTGTACTAGAAAGTCGCCAGTTCTCATCTTCCTGCTCCCCAGATACTCCGCGTACTCAAGTAGTACTACAAAGTCGCCAGTTCTCAGCTTCCAGCTCCACAGATTGCTTCGCGTACTAGTTGTACTACAAAGTCGACACGCGCGATCTCCGTAGAGGGTTGCGCCGGACCGGGCCAAAACGCACTCTCACCTGCATTTCGCGCACTCGACACGCGCGATCCTGCATTTCGCGCCCTCGACACGCACGATCTCCGCAGAGGGTTGCCCGCGACCGGGACAATTTTTTCTTGCAGTAGCTTCGCGACTGGTGTGTTCCTTTGCTCCGTGTTGCTTTTTTAAGCCAAGTTTGCGAGATTGATTGGAGCTTGCTCTTAAACGCTTTCCAGCGCCAAAAAATTTAAAAGTGCTCGGACCCACAAGGTACCGAGATTTGCTGGTCTGGTGCAAGAGGGAAGCAAATCAATCACCCACAGGCCAGGGCGGCCAGGGTATCAAAAAATGTTGATATCAAACAGACTAGTCATAATGTCATGTTTAAAAGAATTAAAAGTCAACATTGGTGAGAAGGCTGGGTTGTTCCACAAGAGACGCGTTTTTCTCAGGTGGGGTCTTGTGTTTGAACTTTCAGGTGTGTCTATTTTTCCCTCTTGCTGACTGTCATGTGTTTCGTGAAGGGGCCGTTCCAGGGGGGCCGTCCCTGAGGAGTTTGCGCAGCTGGAGCACTCCCATTGTCAGGTGGTGTCGCCTGCGTCCGATTCTGTTCCGCGCGGGTCCTTTCGTCATTTCCTGTTGGTTGCCCCTTTTTCGTCTTCTGGTCCTCCCCCTTCGCGGGTTGCCATTGTCGGTTGCTTTTGTATGTTTTCTCCCTCCGCGCTGATGCCGCTCTTTCCTGCTCTTTGCCCTTTCCCCTCTTTGCGCTCTGTTCCTTTTATTCTTTTACTACTCGCCACCCTCGCCGAACAGCTGACCTTTTTGTCTTGGTTTATTGTTCTCACCCCGGGTGGGGCTCCGTTTTGGGTGCACCTGTGTCCCCGTGTCCTTGCTTGCTATGCTCCGGTGTTTCGAGGTCGGGCGTATCAACCCTTGCTTGCTCGTATTGCTGGTTTCCGTCGGCCTTTTACGCTACGTGTGTTTATTAGCTGGTTCTTTTGCTCTGAAGAGTTTGCGACGTGATGCCCATTTTGCGCGATCCGTGACCACCACGAAGCAAACATCAGTATTGTTATCACCTGAGCACTGTTTGTTTAGAACTGCTTCCCTTGCCAATATATTTGACACAAACCCCTGGGACATGCTTGGCCTCTACGATGACGGCGGCAGTTCAGCAAGTGTGCTTCCATTTTGCGTTGTGTTTACATGGCCATGTAGATGAAAATGCAAAACTTCTGTGAAATTCTGTGCAGTTGAGAAGAACCATGTTTTTCTTCATTTGACTTGCTCACCGTTGATGAACAGAATAAAGCCCCCATCATGGTGACCGGACCACACGGTGGGACGCCGTGCGGGGAGGACCTGCCCAAGCTGAAGCGACGTAAGAAAAAGGCCAAGGCGCAAGGCGGGTGCAGATCGTGACTGCGGGTTCAATCTTCACGCTCGTTGTATACTGAAGATATACTCAAGATTCCGGGTTCTTTGGAATCATCAATGAGTTAGTGGTGTTAAAATCGGTTCTTCTGTTCTTCTGGATATATTCAAATCAGTTTCCCATAAATGATAAATAGTGTTTAGGGCTTTTAATCCATGGGAAACAACTCACCAGAGAACCAAGAGCAATGGCACGCAATCACGTCAGGAAAAATGCAAAGTTGGACATCTTGCGAACAGAGCCTTCCAGGACCCCAAAAATCAGACGGTCAAGTAATACAGATATGTACAGATCCCCTCAAAAAATGATGTTAGGACCAGATTTGGATGGATCCATCCAGCTCTCCACCCCACGGGTCAGCTTTAACAGATCCGCCTGAACCAGGCCGAAGATCTTAAGATGAGGCAAAGCCGCGACTTCGTCGAAGGCAGTGAATTGGGCACCCCCAACTGGATGGTGTAGTGGGGGGTAGAAGCATCCAGCGGAAAAAACACCCTCTGAGAGTAAGGGGTAGGGTTGGCACGCTAAATGCAAGCGCGCTCAAATATAGGGTGTTTCTTACATTTTTCTACCACGTTTGGCGGTAACCCTCTGAGAGTAAGGGGTAGGGTTGGCATGTTAAATGCAAGTGCGCTCAAATATAATGGGTTTTCTACATGTTTCTACCACGTTTGGCGGTAACTCAAACGGTTTTGATTCTCCACATCGGGTGTTTTTTGGGACATCGGCCAATTTTTAATTGTTTGAATGTTTCGGGTGAACCCTCCAAACGTCTAAACAGTTCATTTGTTGAAACAAATTGTTGGTATTCCGGTTTTTGCAGAAGGTAAGGTTATTTTCTCCGTGGGTGAACCTTCTTCTTGCGGGAATATCATGTGTTTTCTCCCGGTTCCTTCACTATCACAATGTTCTGCTTCTTTGACCTTCCGTGCGATTTTCGTTCCACGGCAAAACCAGGAGTTCAGTGCGTTGTTTCTACATGGATCATGAGGATGTGGACCAATGTGTACCAAAGACATTTCTCCGCAGCGCCCTTTTCGACATTCAGTGCTCCGCGACCGACTCGTGACCTTCGTGTGACGCCTCGACTCAGCCATGCGTGAGCTCGTGCACATCCAGGGTGGCCAGTGCCTTGAGCTAGACATCGGGAAAAGTTGAGAAAGAAAGGCGGACTGGCCAAATACAGAAATAACCCAGTGGCTATATACACTACCTGGAACTTCTTCGAATAATCATGCAATGTGTCATCCAAGAGGCCGTTTTCGTGTAGGCCAAAGCCTCGAAACCTTCGGAAGACCCATGTAAATGAATTCACAAGCAGGGATGTCCAGCTCTAGACCAGTGTTTTGCAGGTCCGGGTTGTGACGATCCAAGAACATGCAAACCCTTGGTTGCATCATAGTCAGGTTGTGAGTTTCAAGGTGTATCAGTATCAGTATCGAACTTCAAAGCAGGCGTTGCAGAGTTCCGAAGCTTTTCTTTTCCAATGTGTGTGCTTGTGCTTGTGTTATACCGTAATGATTGCATTTGTTGGGGGGAGTGGATCAGCATCGCTTGTGGAGCCATTGTCAACAGCAGTTCCTTCTTGGTCTTAAGGGAGTGGACACACGGAGCATGGACACCGTGTGAAAGGAAAGAAGAGGTCCCATTGGCCCATTGCCATATATTTAGATATGGGAATGGGTCGCCGTTGGTCCACCATTTAACGAGTGGCCTTACAGGTAGGTCAGCCGAGGTATCCTGTTATTGAACCAAAGCCATATTCACATCTATACAGAGAAACTTTGACAGAGGGTGACAAAGGATGATTGTTCTATCCCCAGCCAACCTTTACAACTTTCATGCCCGTTCAACTCACAAAGTCTGTGAAGTTTTCTGACACACTTGATTCTGAGTATATACTCGCATCCTTTGCGTTTGGCAAACAGCTCCACCCTTGAACCCAGGTGATAGCTTTCTGTGCGGGGGGTTGATGAGACATCATCCAAAACTCCATGAGGCGGTTGAGAGATTCATCATTAAGCGGTGCAAATGTGTTAATATATGTATCTAAAATCCTCGTAAAAAGTTCATCCATAAAATCAGTCCCCCCAGGCTCCTGCATAGAACGGTTCTACGAACCACATGGCTCTCCAGAAGAGACTCCAAAAGTGGAGGGTCACTCAATTTATGGACAGCCCTTTTGGTGGACTCCTATCCATTCTATGGAAAGGCAATCTTCCTATAATCTCAGATCAAAGGCTGTTTGAGGTGCTGGACTCCAGCCATTCTATAAGCACAGCATTCTTGAGAAGAATACTAAGGAAAGAACTAAGGAGACTCAGGCTTTATCGTCTTCATCCTGCTGGCGTTCATGGGCCTTAGCTTGGGCACGCCCAGCCCACAAAAAAATAAAGAAACGCTACTTGTAACGAGTACGCCGAAAGGTGTAAAATAGCGCCGAAAGGTGCAACTCATCTTCTTTTTCTTTAGGAATCGTTGGGCTCAACTTCCAGTGTCGGCTATTAAAATCCGACACTGGATGACGCTGGCTAAATAGGATTTTTGTGTGTGTGTTGCCAGATCTGGTCTTTTCCAGAACTGGGTGTGTGTTGTGGATGGCTGTGACATTTTTTAGTGAACAGACTGTTCATGAAGTTTTGTGTTTGGGCTTTGTTGGGCAACTTGAAGGAGAGCCCGGAATGGTATTTTTTTGGAATGGGGGATTGTCCAATGGTATATGCGAAGCATATACACTTTCAGGAGCAGAACATAGACAGAGACCGTGCACAGCAAGAGTGAGAAATGTGGTTGTGGGTCATTGTCAGCTGTTTTGAGAAGCCTAGATTTCTTTGCCAACATGACCCCTTATAAATTTTTTTTTTTTTGTGAGCTGTGTGCTTGAGCGTTTATCTTGACACAATGAAGGTCTGGAAGGAGGGTGGGGTAAACCAACTTATGGTTAGGCCATTTTTTAGGTTATAGGTCTACAAAGGTGTCATTTTGGTTGGTTTTGGTCGGTCTGGGCTCCCCATTCTATAGTGGGCTGGTGTCCATCCTGTTAGCTGGGGTCATCCATTTTTTTTTGCAAAAAAGGTACGTAGGTTCCCCCATTTTATTACTATAGAATGTGGAGCCCGGACCGACCATGGGAAGTTCAACGGGGATTATCTAAACCTCTATCATAAAATGGATATCATAACATCCTTGACATCCCCTCCCAAATTGGCCTTGGAATTATCAAGTCGACTCTGGAAGTGCAATTGCCAGAGAGAGGGAGAGAAAAAATAAGCATGTGGAGTAAGTTATCCACTATAGAGTTTCCTCCTACAACAATGAACCCCATTTATAGGTGTCGCAGTTAATTGACTACCTGTTTTCAGGCCGCCACCGACCGTGCGCCTGCACGTGCGACCATCAGGTGCGGCAATCAGATCGGCGCCAAATTCTGGGAGGTCATCGCGGACGAGCATGGCATTGCGTCTTGGAACGTCAGAGAAACACTTTCCGAGTACAAGGTGGGGTTGGATAGTAGATGGGATAGTCTACCTATGTTGGTGGACCTGGTAACAAGTGAGCCGGTCCTCCTTTGGCGAAAAAACTGCGGGGAAGGCTGTATGAACCCAGAGAGACTATTTGAACATGGACCCTGTTTGCCACTAAGCAGAGCTTTTCTATCGCGGCTCAACACCACTAGTGGCACTCAGCTAGATCATGCTAGATCGGAACTTCAACATATACATGCACAGAGCTCAACACGTCACTGATGTAGCCACTTAGATGCACCCTTCAAACCTGGGGAAATTAAGACCTAATTTGCTCAACATGTCATGAACTCGCCAGCTCAACATCTTGTCGTTCGCTTCCACGCGGCTTGACGACCTAGTTGGTGAACAACACAAGAGTTTGCATCGTCCCCTTTGAGTTGAACAATAATCATGAAATCCAGAATGTTAACTCCCAACCTTCGCTTATTTCATGGTTTGATTTGGTTATACAATTAGTTTGTCTTTTTGGAGGTGTTGTTTTTGTGCCTTCAAAGTCTTTTAATGTATGATCATATTGGATGATTTTCTATGTGTGTTTGCTCTTCGACTTGTTTGCCTCTTTGCACGTATACTCTACTTTTAACTTTCGCCATTGATTGCTTCGCTTCTTTGCTTGCCATTTGATTTGGGGTGCTTTTTGCGTTCTGCAGGACCAGAGGAAGCAAGGAAGCAAGCTAGGAATCTGCAAGCAGGCAAAACGGTGAGGGAAGGAAGCAAGGAACAAGGGGAGCCAGCAAGGAAGGAAGCAAGCAAAGTAGCAAGCAGAAAAGGGGCAGAAACTCCTAGACTGGAAGAACCGCACCACTTTGCCACCAGAAGTTTGCATGGCGCTGTGCCCTCCCCCCAACCAGCTTCCCGCCCGTAAAATTTGCTCCATTGTATCTCCAACTCGTTGACCGCCGAAAGTTAAACGCCCTCTTTGTGCATACATGCATGTTGTGACCTGCAGTGTGGCACCAGACTACACAACCCCACTTACCCCACCGACCCAACCTGCCAAAGTGTGTGTGTGTGTGTCTTTTTGCTGTTGTTTGATGCCATATAACACAGAACCACATACCTACCCTACAGACCCAACCCTACCAAATGTTTTTTGTTCACTCTTTTGCTTTGAAAGCAAAGCGCAAAGAGCTTGAAGTGTGCACAGTTTCGCTGAACAAGAGAGGAGCACTGGAAAGACTGTTGTGGGAGCAGGTGGAGATGGTGCTGAATGAAGTAACACCCGCTTGCATCGCACAGTCGGTGGTGAAAGGCGAAGCAGGCTTGAGCCGTTTGTTGCTGTCCACTGAAACGCTGCACTACATCTACAGCATGGTCCTTGAATTGCTGTCAAGCAAGGACAAGACAGCCGTGTTGATCGTGGCTTCGACTCTGTCACTGAATGGCTTCGGATGGCATGGAGAGTCAGGAACTGCAAAAGGACAGCCAAAAGGCCTGACAAATCCATCATGCGAGCATGGGACTTTGCAAACATGAACAGCCAACATACGATGCTCACGATGGTCCTGCACATGCTGCACTTGTCTGACCTGCTAAGAGAAGGAATGGATAGAGAAGACCGAGAACAAGCTTGGGCTCGCTGGCTGTGGCGCCCCCGCTTTGCATACCACTTTGACTCCACCTCAGCGGCGGGAGCAGCCCTTGGATGGTATAATGCTAATGGTCACCTAGTTCAGAAGGCTAGAGCTCTTCATCAACTGCTACAGCATGGTCATCAAGTTGTGATCGAACCCGTGCATACCCCGGGTCACCAGGGCATTCCTGGGAATGAAGCGGCTGATTCTCTAGCCAACTATGCGGCTGCCTACACTTTCAGAACTGATGACTTCTGGAATGGGCTTTGTGACGAGGAGGTGATCACCACCAAGTTGATGCAATGGTTTTGGGTCCTTGCACGCCCGGATTTGAGGAACCATTGTTTTTCTGGAGCGCTCCAACTACCAAATATCAAGCTGGAAGAGGACTCGCAGGTGATTGAGGCATTGGATTCGTGGCAAGAAGAGAAGAGGCAAGCGCCCTCATGTGAGGTCAAGTTTCGAGCGGTGACTTGCAATGTGCTCTCCATGAAGGACAAGTTTCTCTCAGCCTTTTTGGCTACTATGAGCTTCCTTGATCAATGTCACAAGAAAAGAATCTCTTTGGTGTCCCTGCAGGAAACTCGCTTGAAACGGTTGAGATTCACACATCCTGAATAAATTGTTGTCACGCATCCAGCAGCCGCAGGCAAGGGGTGTGTGCTCCTTGCTCTCCATACACGTTTCTTCCGCTTGAAAGGGCGAGATGTTGATGATGGGGTGACTGAACGCAATTGGACTGTGGTGCATAGTTCCTCTGAGCTTCTGATCACCCGCCTTTGGTGTGGGGCACTGGATGTTCTGATTGTCAATGCACACGCAACCTCATTCTGGCCGGCCTTATGAAGAGATTGAAAGTTTCTGGAGATCCTTCAAGCAGCTGATGCCAAGCAAATGATCTTACTTGCAGATGCGAATGCACGAGTGGGATCGGTGGTGTCTGAGGCTATTGGGGATTGGCAAGGAGAAGAAACACAAAGTGGTGCATGCTTCCATGAGATGCTGACACACTGGGGCCTCTGGCTCCCCTCAACGTTCGAAGATAGCCACTCTGAACCAGGAATATACTTCGACTCATCCTAGTGGACGCACCAGCCGCATCGATTATATCGGTGCTCCTCGAGTGTGGGGTCTGTGGAGCATCCATTCTTGGGGTGGATTATGGTTTGCAGGCTCACGGGCACCTCCATGATCACCATGCCGTCTGTTTGGAACTTTGTGGGGAGCTGACTGGTGGAGTCGCACTTCAACAGGTTCGGAAGAGGAAACAGTTGCAACCACTGGCTTCTCTTGATGATGGTGATGATCTCATGCAGCAGGCTGTCAATTCCATGGCACCTATTAGCTGGCATCTCGATGTTCACCAACACGCCAACGAAGTGGCTACACGATTTGAAGCTGGGGTTCGAGCGATTGTACCTGAACGACAGGCTTTCCATAGAAAACCATATTTTGCTGATGACACAAAAATGGCCATTAGGACCAAAGCATCTCTCCGGCAGCAGTTACTCTCCCAAGGAGCACAGCGACGGCATGGATTGCCAGTTTGTTTGGGCATGGCAGCAGGTATGGAGGGAGGAGCCGATCGACTGGAGTGGCCTTGAGACCGAGGAGAAGTGGGCATGTGACCATTGGACTCATCTCTTCTGTGCCTTCAGGCGAGCAAGAAACAAGGCCGCGAGTCTCGAAAGAAAATGTGGCCTTCTTCGATCGCATCCAGGAAGAGTGGGTTGAGCGCGACAATCCTTCTAGATCTGCAGAGCACTTTGGCGGGTTGTGCAACGGCATCTTCCCAAAGCGCAGGAGCGCAAAGACCACCGACCTGCAGTGCAACAGGAAAGGTTCCGAGACCAATGGAGACAATATCTCCAAGACCTTTCGATTGCGTGACCTCTACCAGGAAATGCTTGAGGCTGGCACTGGAAAAGAGGGAAATGGCAATCTTGAGTGCTCTTTTGGTGAAGTACCCACCCTGGTGCAGATGGAGAACTCCCTTCGAGCCACCCGACCTGGCAAAGCATGTGGACCAGAAGGTCTCTCCTCAGAATGGGTCCATTTTGGTGCCACTGCATTGGCACCCAAGATCTTTGATCTGATGCTGAAGATGCTCCTTACAGGACAGGAACCGATCCAATGGAAAGGTGGCTCTTTGTGCATGCTACCGAAGGTGCCGATTCCGACATCGCCCTTCCAATTTCGAGGCATCATGTTGCTTGGTGTTTTGGTTCGACGTGTCCATGCCCTTTTACGTCCACTGATCATGGAGCACGCAGCCATTCAGAAGCCGCCCGGCCAGCTGGGTGGATTTGCTCATCAAGAGTGTTGCTTTGGTAGTTTGTACATCCAATCCTTTTTACGAAGGGCATATAAAGCGGGTCTCCCTTCGGCCATTATGTTTGTGGATCTCAGTGCTGCCTTTCACTCTGTCATCCATGAGATCGTCCTTGGATCATCACTTGGCGGAGAAAGCGACAGACAGATTCTCCATGATGCTCTGGGGAAAGAGGGCTTTGATGAGAAAGGCGTTGCTGCCCTCTTGAATCAGAAGGGCATGATGGAGGATTCTGCCCTCACGAGGTTGCTTAGAGAGTTGCACAGCAGGACATGGATAGCAGATGCGATGTTCAGTGTCTTGTGGGGCCTATAGTCCAACAGCTCGAAGACCATATTGGACATCAGAGCCAACAAAAGATTGCTAGAGCTCAATTAGCTTCTGATGGTGCGCAAATAGTCTGGGCTGATGATCTTGCCATCCCTGTCTTAGCTACAACCAATGAGGACCTTGGTACTGAAGTCCAGCAGATCTTTGTGATTGTGGAGGAGGCATTCATGAGCAAGGGTATGAGGCTGAACATGTCGCGTGGCAAGACAGAGGCCATGCTCACCTATGCTGGATCGGGCTCCAAGGATGCACGTGCGGCGATGCGACGTGACCCTCGTCTGCCTCTGGAGGGGGAGAATGCGCGATCCTTGTCCCTTGGTTCACAATACAAGCACCTTGGTACCACACTTACTTCAGGTGGACAGCTTGGACAGGAAGTCAAGCGTCGTGTGGGCCTTGCATGGGGTGCTTTCCGCTCGATGGCACGCCAAGTCTTCACAAATGTTGCTTTGAAGGAGACGACTCGTTTGTTCCTTGTGGAGAGCCTGATCTTTTCCAAACTCTATATCATGGGTGTGGTAGTTGACCCATGCTACAACGCGGAGATTTGAGGAGACTCCAAGTGTGCCAGGGCAACATTCTCAGGCGGACACTCCGCCAAAACAAGGTGCAAGGGAACACAGTTCTGACAGACATCGACATCCTTGTCCGTTCCGGATGTGCCCCAGTACGAGTTCGTCTTGCACAACAACGTCTTCTGATGGCTGCACGACTTGCACGGCACGGGCCGACCTTCATTGTTGATGAAGTTCGCAGGGAGGCACAGGAGCTGCCCACTGGATGGTGGGCTGGTTTGCAAGAAGACCTTACTTGGCTGGGATCTGCTATGGACCTCAGCACATGGGGCTCAACGGTCCATGAAGTTTGGCATTGGTGGCAAGTGGGCAGACCAGGCTGGAAGCGGATCGTGAAGCAGGCCGGCAGAAGCATGTTTTCATGCTGCCCCAATTGAACCGGCCACCTGATGCCCTTGATGCAGAGGAGGAAACTTTGCAGGACCTTCTGGATAAGATGAAGTGCATGTGCCACTGCGGAGCACGTGAAAGCGCTGCGGATGCCTAAAGTTCAGATGCAAGGTTGGCCCAATGTAGAATTCGGCATCATCCGTGGCACTACTTGCGTCGTATGCTTGAAACATTATTGGACCTCCAGTCGTCTGCAGACGCACCTTCGATATGCGAGTCGTCAAGGTCACCTCAACCGATGCGGAGCATGGATCAGGGAGTTCGGCATAGCAGAGGCGCATAGGGAGGACTTGCCGGATGACAACCTGGTTGCACTCCCTGGGACGACAAGAAAGGACGCAGTGGCCCTTGCCTGGCCACTGATGCTTGGTGCTTGTGCAAGTGACCTGGAGTACCTGGAGGGCGAGTTCTTGAAGGAGAAGCACTTGTTGTGTACTCAGGGAATTTCCTTCCAACTCGACCAACAGAATGAGGAGGCCCGTTTTGCTGCTTTCCATGAGCAGTGTGAGAACCGCTGGACAGTGGCACAGATGCATAGTCATTGGGAATGCGCTGTTTGTGTGGTGTATGCGCATGGGTCTCCGTGATCAGGACCTTGCTTGGCGGCATGCTGTCATTGTGAGCTGGCATCAAGGCCCTAAGTTGCTACACGTTCATGATCTTGCCGTACAAGTTCATGCTTTGAGGCGGGTTCATCATGGGCATACAGATGTCCTGCCGGTCACCCTGAGCCGGTGCATGCCTTGCGCCTTACGCCTTTGCCCAATGTGTACTGGCGTGGCGCTTTCCGTTCGGTGTCCCAGATCCGTTTGAATGATCTGAAGTGACTTGGCAATGGACCGCTCTTCGCTATAGGCAGACGCCTGCAGACAGCCCTGAAATGAAAAAATTACGTACATGTCCTTTGGGGAGTTGATAACAGGCCGTCCCACCCCAAATGGGTAACGAAAAGGCCTAAGTGACCGTTGGCGATCTGGGTCTGCGAGTCGGACGCTCCTCCATGGCAAAAAAGCACCTTGAGGCGACTCTGGTCCGGCCCCTATAGTCGAATATGGGACATGACATGGCCCTAGGCCCTAGTTGTCAACAATTCCTTTACTTCGAGTGATCCTCACCCTGAGAGGCGATTTGGAAGAAGGCAGGGCACATGTTTTGACAGCCTATCCTGACAAATGCCGCCTGACATGTGCATTAATTAACACAAAGTTCCGACACTTGATCTTGCATCAAGCTCGGATTGTGTTCTGACACACCATCTATCTTTCAGACCGGGATACAGCGTGCATTTTGTGTTTTTTTTTCAGAAGGTGCTGGAAACGTAATGTATGATATTCGAATATTATAGCAGGACAACGTTTATGTCGAACCTATCAACATTTCTCATTTTTAGTTTTAAACGCGTGCCCTTTGTGTTTTCAGAAGGTGCTAGAAATGTACATGTGTAATTATGTATGATATTCTCGAAATTTGTTCTTAACTTTATAGCAGGACAAAGTTTACGTCGAACCTAACAACATTTCTCATTGTTAGTTTCAAACACAAGGCTAATACCTACCAACAATTTTGTGTTTCCGGAAGGTGCTGAAAATGTACATGTGTAGTTATGTATGATATTCCATTATTTGTTCGTAACTTTATAGCAGGACAACGTTCATGTCGAACCTAACATTCTCATTTTTAGCTTTCAACACAAGGTAAATACAAAGAAACAACGCATATTTCCTGTTGTGTTTTTCAGAAGGTGCTGGAAATGTACATATGTAATTATGTTTGATAATCCAATAATGTTCGTAACGTTAATGTCGAACCTAACAACATTTCTCATTATTAGTTTTAAATACAAGGCAAATACCTAGCAACAACGCAAGGTGCCTTTTGTGTTTTTCAAAAGGTGCTGAAAATGTACATGTGTAATTACGTATGATATTACAATATTTGTTCTTAACTTTATAGCAGGACAACGTTTATGTCGAACCTAACAACATGCCTCATTTCTAGTTTTAAACACAAGGTTACTCTTAGTAACAACGCAGTATTGTCTGGAGTGTGTTCTCACTTTTGTGCTGCAGTGAAGTCTGACATGTGCTGTGACATTTGGTCCGACTTCGGTTCTGATATGTGTTCTGCCTATCAAAAACCTGAACACAGGGCTTTGTACCATGTTGTTCCTGGAAAATCGAAGCCAACAGCAAAGCAGCCAAACATGTCTTCCAAACAAAATTCCTCAAAGTCCTAAAGCACATGTTCGAGCCCCTCGTCAAGCTTGGTCTTCCCAGTGATCAGATCCCATGGAATGAGGAATTGCCATGAAGTGGCCACTGTGTTCTTTTAGGGTTTGCCGCACGCCAGGTATTGACTCCACATGAAGATCGTCCAAACCACTCAACCTCCACGGCGGAACCCGAAACCGGTCGGAGCATTGCGACGCCCACTTCTCAGGACCCCACTGGCACCTACCACGGTGACTCGGACCTTCAGCTCGAGAGGATCAATGTATACTTCAACGAAGCCACCGGTGGTCGCTACGTCCCCAGGGCCGTTCTAATGGATTTGGAACCAGGCTGGGTGACTTGCTGTCAAGAGCAGGGTAGTGGGAGAGTGCAGAATTTGGTGATTTGTTCTTTTGCATCGGACACACCACGTGAATAATGCCTCCTTTTGTTTTCGACGTATCAAAATTTCAGACCCACCATGAACCTAAATGGTTCAATACTGCCACAAAACACTTGAGGTGCACACATTCGGAATCGGTTTCGATCGATGGACATCTCCAACCAACATCCACGGTGGGCTGTCCTTGAAGATGCCATCAATCTATTCCATGTGTTTTGGTTCAACCCCACTGGTCACTCTCCTGACGACCTGCGCGGCAGCTCCACCGGGTAGGCACCATGGATAGCGTCCGAGCTGGGCCCTTTGGCCAGCTCTTCCGCCCGGACAACTTCGTCTTCGGGCAGACGGGCGCCGGGAACAACTGGGCCAAAGGACTGGTGGCACCGTTGGGGGCGTAAGCACGGTGGCACCCAGAAGTAGCAGACTATGGGGTGACTATATAGGGGCTACTTACTAGGGTATGGAGCAGAAAGCGGGAAGATCTTGGTGAGTAAAACATGTTCAGTTTTTGGGTCTTTGCTAACTTCTCTCCACACGGAGAGAGATGCCAAGAGTCGTTGCGATGCTTGGCTCTCAGGGCTGAGGAGTTCTTCTATATTTAGACGTCATGATATTTCATGTAGATGGACAGAAATGACGAAATTATTTCAACCTTCAGCTTCAAGTTGCTTCTCCCACACACAAGGATTCGTGAAAGGTCATGACCTTTCACCCAGCCGTCCTCTTTATTGAACCTCTATCACCTCACTAAGAGACCACTGGCAGCCCCATAGATCCATTTCCATGTGTCCAGAGCAGTCAGAACTGCTTTCAGTCCATTCACCTCCCCACTCGACGACTTCTTCGACGCTCGCGTCTTCCGTCGCGAGCAGGACATTACACCGAGGGTGCTGAACTCATCGACTCCGTGCCAAGGGGGCAGACTGCCGTGGGCGCCGGGCACTGGGACTGGGCCGAGGTTCGAGGGCAGACCCCCCCAGGTTTGGGGTGGTTTATATGGACCCCTTCTTTCAAAGGCATCTTGGGGTGCCATCCACTCTACAACTCACTGTAAATGAAGGACGTGAGGCACAGACAGACTGCTGTGAGCCGACGAGACTCGTCGGAGAAATTGTGCACGCAGTGAAAGATACTCCCTGTTAACACTTGGTGCACTTGATAGGGGTTGTGTAGGTTGAGAAAGGAATAATACTAAAAGCAAATTATTATTCAGGGAACATGATGCTGTCCTGCAATGCTTGGAATTTGAGAGAGAAAAGGGGAAAGGAATTCTGCATTGCCGAATCCAAAGATAAAGTGAAAAACATCACCAAAGCAAACCATGTGTCTTCTGCCGCGCTTCTTGCAAGCATCCCTGCTGTTTTGATGCGCAATTGACTGCTGAGCAGGTTTGAGGTATAGAATATGTTGGGGGTGTCCGACCTATATTACCTGTAACAGTCGGTAAACAATTATCACTGTTTTAGAGGACAGCCTTTGCTAACCATCCACTGGAGTAGGATGCACAGATGCATCCAATGTATATGGAACGTTTCGTCGTTTTTTAAATGGCCCTACCCCAAAAACGATATGGGACGCACTAAAGACGCTACCCCAAAACGATACCCACCCCAAATTGTCAAAACCAGAAAAACGATAGGGGACGCCCTAATTTACTTGTGAATACAGCCCAAACCAACGACTTAGACGCTGTCTCATATGATTTTACCATAGCTGTGAGTTGGACGTATGTCTCTATTCAATGTAGCATTTTGAATGTAGCCGATTGTTACCATTGCCGACCTCATCATTGGAGATGTGCAAGGCTAAGTGGCTATAAACACTAATGATTCAGGTCAACATTTGTTGTTTTCCTTGAGACCTGTTGGGGAATGAGAGTTTGAACATGTCCCTTCGTTCAATCATTTGTTCTCAGCAAGAAGCTCGATCGATCATACATTGAAGACAACATGCCAGGACACCAACATGCCCGAGCAATGTAAAGTGCGCTGATTTGGCACGACGTCCTACCTGGGTCCTACCTTCAAAATCATCGGATCTGGACGGTTTTCATTGGTTTTCATCTGGTCCAGGTGCTGGATGTGGTTCGCAAGGAGGCTGAAGGCCCACTGGTTTGGACGGATGGGTTGTTCCGTTTTGGGAGGCTTTTCGCTCCCTCTACACTAGGGTGTACAGATTCTTGGTGGCCGCGAAGTAGACTCTTTGAGGATTTTGCGGCTCTCAGAGCGTTTGGCTTGTTTTGAATGGTGCTATCCCGTGGAGCACCGAAGAGAGAGATGTCTGCTCATCATGGAAGCCGAAGTCATTGACGTACATGGTAATTAGAGTCGATGTCCCGATTGAAGTACATCAAAAGCACATGCAGAAGTGTTTCCCACGAGGCAGCATACCTTATAAGACGATATGCCAGTTGCTTAGTCATGGATTGTCAGCGCTGCTTGTGCTTTGTCAAGATCGTCCTTGATCATTTAGTTGCTCCTTGACTAGATGCTTCTCTCGGCGAAGTGTCGCAGCCTGGTACGTAGTGATCTCCCTAGATAGAACAGATTTCCAAGGCACTTGATTTACACCAGTGGGCCTCCCCCTTAGTGTTTAAATTATGAAAGAATAGGCAAAATGTTTGTGGAATCTCGTGTCCCGTGTTTGCAATCAATCACCAGCCAGCCGGTCATAAAAATGTGTCACAATCAAACCACTGGTGGTTTTCCACAGGTGGGTCCCTTTCTTTTGTCATAGACCTGCATGCACCAGTCAAAAAGCCGCCATGGCCATGCCCCCCCCTTTCCGCATCTCATTTTGCACCTGGACTGTCTCAGCAAGGGGCCCCCGCTCACACAAGGCGTCACCTTATTGGGCGCCCTTTGAGGGCGCTGTGTACGTACACGCGCTGCGTGGCGCTGCTGCGTGGCGCCACGTTCGTTCCGCCGCGCCACAGGATGCGACTGTTTACAGGGCTTCCAGCTCTGCCATTCCCTGGGGGGTGGCACCGGTGCTGGCATGGGCACTTTGCTGGTCTCCAAGGTGCGGGAAGAATATCCGGAACCTCGGCGGGCAGAGCTTCCGTTCATCCAGTTCTACGTGTCCAGTGAACTGGTCGGTTGTGTTCGGTGTCATGGTACTTCTTTGTCCCCAATTGCTCTAACATTTCTTCATTTCTACAGGGTGCTGAGGCAAGGAGACTCCAGGTAGATGAGGAAGAGGGTAGGTTGGAGGTCTCATGTGGAGAAAGTATAGGAAACGAGCATTTGGTGTAGGAGGATGAGATCACCTGATGGATCTCACAAGAAGCAAAGTTGATGTTGGCTGACTGAGTCATGACAGGGAATTCTTCCCCAAGCCTTTATTGCAGCTGTGACCTTGCTACTTTACCCCCAAAACGGCTTGATATTTCACCAGGCAGACCTGCAGAGTCTGCAGAGGTTTCTCAAAGCAAGATCAACATCATTTTCTTTGGTTTCACGTCATGAAATCCCAATATCAGACTCACCACAGGGGTTTCGCTCGGTTTCACTCCTCCCTGTGCCCAACGAACCAAACATCTACGCCCATCTGCGCCGGACGCCACACGAACCGAGCGAAACCCGTCGGTCAATTCGTCGGTCGCCGAGGATCGCATCATGGAGACCTTCTCGGTGATCCCATCGCCCAAAGTCTCGGACACCGTGGTGGAACCCTACAACGCCACCCGGGCGCCAAGCGGCGACAGACGAAAGGGATTCACTGATCTATAATTAATGTATTATAGGGCTTGGCGGATCAGATATGTGGTTCCGAACTGGGGGTCAATGCCCGAAATTTCTGGTGAATAGGTGTTACTTTCCCCGCGAACCAAGATCCTCCATGTCCTACGGTGCGGTGAGAAACATGCACATGATGTCACTGGTACATACTATAACCACTGAACGAAGGGCGTTTTTGGCGATGCCACCGGTTGGGGGATCTTGTTTGCGGTGCCCTCCGAGAGAGGGACGGAGGGAAGGTTTGAGGTTGGAGCCTGCGCAAACCAACGCGGGGCTACGTGCCAATTTGGGCGATAGCCGTTTTCAGCGACGAACTAGCCGCCCTGGAAGGAACACCCCAAAGAACATCAAAGAACTGGTTTAGGTAGTGATTTCTGGAACCCACAATAGATCAAACATATGTTTGCTGTTTGATTTGGTTGGGTTTGGTTGTGAATTTCCATGCAGAGCAGTTTCCCACCTTCAGAGGCTGTTTTGAGCTTCCATCAGCTGGTGGAGAACTCTGATGAGTCCTTCCTCCTGGACAACGAGGCATGCCGGCGTTGAAGTCGTGGAGAGGATGATGCCTGGAACAGCTCATGAAGTCACAGCCCCCCTTCCAAGTAAATCAGTACAGAATAAGTTCGACAAGGTCTGTTTGCTCATCAAACCATCTCTTGCGTGCGCACCATGTATCAGCCCTCAAGTACTGAGTGCCTTGAGATTGAAGCCAGCTGTTACCGACGGCAAAACGTGTTTCGAAGCCTCAGGGTTTGGGTTATGTTGCCGTGAACATCGAAGACTCCAATGACCCCCTATATAGGCTGGTAGAGCTACCTGGGTTGTGCGGGCCTTGGTAGACATTTCAAGTACTTTTATGACATCAGCATCCATACTTCAGGCAACTTCAGCCTTGACATTTGCCATTTCAATCTTGGGATGAACTATAACTCTATAACTATTACTGCTGGAAGAGTGATGTCATACGTGCGTGTGAAATACCCTTCCCTTCCGCCCCTCTCCACCTTCAGGCCTTGTATGACATCTGCTTTCGCACTTTGAAGCTTACGACACCCACCTACGGAGACCTGAACCATTTGGTCTCTGCGGCCATGAGTGGCGTCACCTGCTGCTTGCGCTTCCCCGGACAGCTGATGCCTGGCGAGAATCCATGGCTCCCTCCAAGAAAGGACCTGCGAAGCTCCTTGCATGTTTCGAGGTGTTGTTTGCTTAGCAAACCTGCCCGAGTTCGCCACTTTCGAAAACACTGGGGCGAGTCCGCGCTGGGGCGAGAACTCGAGTTCCTTCAGTTCGGCGTTGTTCGTCAGTCTGGTAAGCTTAGCCGACCTCAGTCGAATGAACGATTCAGCTCGACAAGCGGAGTGGATGAAGAGGAAAGAGGTTCAGGCATCAGGATGTCTTAGGGCAGTGAACCTGCCATCTACTAGGGCCATGTATGATGCTAGTGAACCTAGGACAACAATCTCTCATCAACTGCATCCCAACTCCGAGTCTGGCCTCCACGAAACTTAGTGTTTCCAAACCGAGCAGGGGGTGGTTTTGCGATGTTTTGCGTAGGTCGCCCACCTGCATGGCCTCGCTCCTAGGAATTGCGACCTGCGGAAGATTGCCGTGAACCTCGTGCCCTTCCCACGGTTGTGCCTGGGCTGTTGAATTCTCGGTTCATCCGTGCAGGTGCCCGGGCACCCGTTCCTGGGCTGTTCATAGTCCATGGGATCCATGGAATCCTGGTCGTTTGAAAGCGGAATGTATACTAGACATCCAAGCGACATGCAGTGCTATGGTGCTATGTGAGCAAAGGAATTGGAAAGAAGGGGAGGGCCACAACACCCACTGAGAGAGCCAAAGAGACCAAAAGTGCCAACCAACCAGAACATGGCCAACCCTAATCAAGAACAGGTCAGATAAGTCGAAGGCAGTTTTTTATTGCGGATGATTGCGGTCTTATTTCTTGGTTTTCAAACACCTACCAGATCATTTGGGTTGGAAGTGTGCTGATCTCGAATGGGTGAAACGCATGGACATTGTGACTGTTCATGCCAGGCTTTAGCGGTTGAGCCGAGAGGAATAGATTCCACATCCCTTCAAAAAGTCGGCTGACAGGATGGCATGCAGGATGGCATTGCCGGAATTTCCTGCATGAGAAGGTGACACACTTCCACTCGATCGGAAAATCCTTTGGGTGACCCCCTAAAAGGTCTCCCAAGACCTCAGCCTGTTTCCGCACGGATGATCTAAAAGCACGGTTTGACTGAGAAACCAATTGATTCGAAAGACCTATGGCCATCTCAACTGGTGCAAAAGATGACGCCCCAAAAACAATACGCCAGAGACCGGAACTCTGTGAACTCCAGTGATGTGGTGTTTGTTCGGAGGATGAGCTGAAGAACATCTGCTTCAGATTGAATTGAATCATATTGAATATACCTAGCGCTTTGGAGAGGGGCCTCCATGCACACTGACATGAGTGTGACCCCGTCCAGTCCTAAAAACTGGACGGCCCAACTGAGACGGATCATGTTTGAGACCATCCTGGTTCCCATAAAGCAATTGCAGACATTGGTTTGTTCGCCTTCAAAAAAGAAACACCCAACTGTATCAGACCACGCGTTCACCATTGGACCTGAACCACTGGTGGGTGAACACCTTGTATTTGGTGAAGTGAGTGCACCTGGTAGATGCCATAAAAAGTCAACATCGCACAGTTCAGGCATTCTGGTCTGCATGCAACTCGATTCCTTTGTCCAAATCGTTTCATGATGTTCATCTTTGGGGGAAAAGGCCTTTCGGCTTCGTGGCTTCGTGGCTTCGTGGCTTCGGGCACCGAACCGACCTTCCTCTCGGGGCACCGACCTTGTAGGCACTTCTTCATGACGGGTTTTGCGCCCTTGACCTCACGTGGCTCCCAACAATATCGCGCACTCACGGTGCCGGAGCTCACTCAGCAGATGCCAGGTGGCCGCAGAGCATCCGATCCGAAACGGGGCTGAGCTTCCGATGGGATCCTTTTGCTTTGTGAACCTTTCTACGTGTTCTTCTTGTTTTTCTTCTTCATCTTCTTCTTCTTCTTCTTTTTCTTCTTCTTCTTCCAGTGAGACTACACTTGAACCACGGAGCAAGCACATGCCCCAAGCGATGCTCTCACTGGTCGAGTCTGTTGATGTCATTGCGCCCTGCAGTGCTTGGCTGCCCAGTCTCCCGTTGTTGTTTGTTTTTGGCGCTTGGACGTGCGTGAAGTGTCCAGCCCACAAGGAATGGATTACAAGTACCAAGGGTGCCATTGAGGGCTTCAATAACCTCCTGAGAAGGGTTGTTGGGGTGGATTTGGGGATGTGTTGGGGTCTAACTACCTTTGGTCAATCGACCCAGAATACATCTTTCAGCTTGAGATACCAAAAAAGACATCTTGTGATCAGATGTTGGCAAGAGCACTTGTCCAGGTTGGTGTGGTGATCAGTGGTGAATAAATGCGGCTCATCAGAAAGGTAGGGAGGTTATTTGTAGCTTCTATCTCAGATCGGCACATTTGATCATCTGCGAAAACCAAGTGGTCCAGGCTGCGGGCATTCCTCAAGCTAACAACGTGTTCTCCTCAACATCCGGGCCCGTGGGCCCGTGGATGGGCCCGTGCCGGAAGTTCCAAGGGACGATGATAGCATAGCTGTGACGGTGATGGCGGTGGTGAAACAGTACATGTTTTGCAGGATGACGCCGCAGATGATGGCCATGAAAGGGGACTTGAGGACGGCACCTTTGATGAGGATTAGGATGAGGATGAGGATCCTACTATTTTAATGTGATCCTCTAACACATGTATGACCGTCATTATTTTGCACCCCGAACCAGGATGTTCATCGGTACTCTTTCTCGGTCATGAATAGAGCAATACACAAACCAACATATATTCTGTGAATCTTTTTGGATAGACTTTTGTTTTGTATTTCGTGATGGGTGACCTATCCTTGTATACATACATCTCATTCTATCTCACGCTTTCTTCTCTTCTCTGATCATTTCATCTATATTATATAATCTTATCTGTCTATCTCCTGTCATGTTCCTGGTTGAAGTATTTTGAAAGATGTTTCTTGCGCGGAGGCTTGGTATCCAAAATGTCGCGGGAATGTGCGTTCCTAGCTGTCCTGCTTACCTAATTAATCTATCTTATCTTTACAATCAATCCAGTCTATCGCCTCTACCTGATCTATCTTTTCCTCATCTAGTCGATCGAATCCATCTATAAATCTGTTCCTATCTACCGATCCACGTATCTTGTCCTTCCGTATCTCATCTGACCTTTTCTAGTCTGCTCTCATCTGATCTCTTCATGTGTCCAATCTTTCTCATCTTTCCAATGTATCTAGTCTATCTCCTCTATGTATTCTATCTACCTGATCGAATCCATTTATTTATGTACCTATCTACTTATCCAGGTAGCATATAGTTTTTCTTACCGTATCTTATCCTATCTTACCTTTCCTAGCTTTTTCCTTTCGTTTCCTAGCTTACCTCATCTTATCTCACGCTTGCTTCTCTTCTCTGATCCTATTTGATCTAATCTTATTTGCCTATCTCCTTTCATGTTCCTGGCTGAAGTTGTTTAGACGATGCTTCTTGCACGGCAGCCTGGTATCCAAAATGTTGTGGGAATGTACGTTCGGTGAGCTGAGCTCGTGTGTCCTATCTATCCTGTTTGTCCTAGCTGTCCTGTTTACCTAATCTATCTTATCTTTACAATCAATCCAGTCCATCGCCTGTACCTGATCTATCTTTTCCTCATCTAGTCGATCGAATCCATCTATAAATCTGTTCCTATCTACCGATCCACGTATCTTGTCCTTCCGTATCTCATCTCACCTTTTCTAGTTTGTTCTCATCTGTGCAATCTTTCTCATCTTTCCAACGTACCTAGTCTATCTTCTCGATCTAATCTGTCTACCCGATCGAATCCATCTCCCGTTCGACCTCTCAACGTACCTTTCCTTACCTTATCTTACCTCATCTCGGCGTATCTTATCTTACCTTAACTTATCTTACATTTTCTAGTCTTTTCTTGTTTTATCTCGTCCTAGCTTGCTTTATCTTTTCTTCCATTTTTTCCAAACAGTTTACTGTTAGGGGTTCTCAATTCTTTCTTAAGGTGTGTCCGCCCCTTTGTGTCACTGCTGGTGTCCGCCCTTTTTCGCTGGCCATGTAGCATTTCTATTCATTGTCTCCCAGGTCTGTCACTGCTGCTGTCCGCCCTTTTCCGCTGGCCATGTAGCATTTCTATTCATTTGTCTCCCAGGTCTGTCGCTGCTGGTGTCCGCCCTTTTTCCGTTGGCCATGTAGCATTTCTATTCATTTGTCTCCCAAGTCTGTCACTGCTGGTGTCCGCTCTTTTCCGCTGGCCATGTTTCCTAGGTCTGTCACTGGTAGTATCCGCCCTTCTGCTCGCCATATACCATTTCTATTCACTTGTCTCCCAGATCTGTCGCTCCAGATTGAACAGCAAAACCTCCTTGGTTGAGCTGCGAACCCTCTGTGCCTCCTCTTAGGTTCGATGCTAAGAACATGATGTGCGCAGCTGACCCTCGCCACGGGCGCTACTTGACCGCCGCCGCCTTGTTCCGCGGGCGGATGTCCACGAAGGAGAGCCGAGCCCCGGCGCGCCGCAGAAAGAAAGCGCTTGGTGGATAGGAGCGGAATTCGGCTCTTTGGTTGAACTGCTTGATGCCGTGTCAGATGGTGTGCATCACGGTGATCAGTAGGAAACTCAGTGTCAGTTCTACACGCTGGAATTCTTAAAGGGGACAATCGGCCAAAAGGACCGGTTGTCAGGCCTCATTCAATCGTGTATCCTTCAAGGAATTACATTGCTGTGACCTGCATATCCAAAACTTGCGATGCGGACACTTAGAGACTTAGAGCTATCTCCCCACCATACCAAGCTGATCATGGAGACCATTTTGAGAGGTATGTGTTGTCGTATGTTTGCATTGCTTTGCTTGGCGTGCGCTTGGCATTGCTCTTATGTTTGTTTGCTTGTTTGTTTTGCTTTTGTACGTATAAATGTGTTTGTGTGTTTGGTAAATAGTAGACACTAGTAGACACTAGATCCCTCGCAGCGGCCCTTGTCACTTGTTGTCACTTGTTGCAAGTTTGGTAATCCCGGTCAAAGCGATTTATATAATGCCTGGAAAGGTGGGTGTTCGTGGAATTGAAGTCCACAGGCAAAACCCGGCGAAGCCGGCTTGCATTCATGTGGGCAGAGGTTGGACTTAATACAAGTTGTTTGTATCTTATGCTTTATTACTGGCAGTAAGCATTAAGAGTTAACATGTAGATATTTGCTTTTACAAGGGAATGACAATTATGTCAAGACCAATGTGAAGACCATGGAAACATGTGTGTGTAATTCAACACTGCCGACCACAGTCAACAACATGGGGCAACATATTATAGGAGTAGTATTATGTAGTTGTAGTTGTAGTTGTCGTAGTCGTAGTCGAAGTCGTACGTCGTAGTAGTAGTAGTAGTGGTAGCAGCAGCAGGAGTAGTAGTAGTTAGTAGTAGTAGTAGTAGTAGTAGTAGTAGTAGTAGTAGTAGTAGTA